AAACGATAGGTCCTTTAGTACAAGCTTCTGTCCATAATGTGCCCGTTCATGTGTTCATGGACTCTGGTGTGCAAGTTAATATCATCAGGTCTAGCTTGTTTAAGAGAAGCAGTTACGACGTATCCTCCTCGTTGAACCAACTACTGTAACCTCCCTTAGTGGAGTAGCTGGTTCCCTTCTGCGTGTCTGAGGTCAGACTTCACTCACCTTTTCTTTCCAAGGTAGAGACTTTACTGCTGCTTTTCTTGTTGTCGACCAGATTACTTTCCCTGGTGACCTTCTACTGGGATTTGCTTCCATGCGAGACTTACGCATTGTGCTCGACCCTTACCGATGGCATGCCCAAATTGACGACTTGATTGTTCCATTTTGGGGTTACCAGCTTGGATCAGAAATCTGCCATACTGCTGCAGAGTACGATGTACGAATTAAGTCCTTACAAGCCAATGCATTTTCCAGTAGCGTGCCCAAGCGGTCAGGCACTAGTAACTCTGTCACTCCCATCTGTGTTCCACCTACACCTTCAGACATGCAAGATAGTGCATTGCCTCAAGTGTCCGAGGACACTCAGACTGCCTTGAGTGCACAGCCTATCCCTGCAATGACTGCTAGTTCAAGTAGTAGTTTCTCCACAGGGGATGCCTTGTCGGAAAATGATTACTTGAAACTAGTAATGCCATCTCTTGTTGATGTCACATGCCGTCTGCAGAAAGACGTCTCTGTTGCAGCTAGTGCTCTCACTAGAGTGTCTGTTGTTGTTCCTAATGTTCCAGATGGTGATAACGTCCTAGTTGACAGTGATTCCTGCAAGGTCAAGGGTTTATTTGTTGAACCTTCCTTACACGTTGTAAGAGACAGTAAGATCCATTTATTCCTTGCTAACACTTCGGGTCACAGTGTTCGTCTCAGAGCAAATACCAATCTTGTTGACCTGGTTTACTATCCTTACCCTGTTCAAATACAGGATGACGTGCCACCTGACCAGTGGGTCGGTGCTATTTCAACAGGGGAGACCTCATCCACTCCACTGGATCAATCAATTCCACCAGTTGAGGAGAAAGACTTAGCTCCCACTGACTTCCCAGATGAAGTCAAGAGTTTGTTGACTTTGTTGAACAAACGCCATTGCCTTACCAGGTGAGAAGATGGGTATAACGAACTTATTGTCCCATCGTATTCCACTTGAACCTGGTACTAGGCCTATCTATATACCTGCGTACAGAATGCCTCATTCCCAAGTTGCTGTCGCAGAAGAACTGATCAATCAAATGCTCGATGATGGAGTTATTGCACATAGCAATTCACTCTGGAATGCTCCCTTAATCCTAGTGCCCAAGAAGGACGGTACTTGGCGCCCGGTGATTGACTTTAGGAAGTTAAATGCGAAAACTATTCCAGATCGCTACCCACTTCTTGTACTTGGTGATCTTTTACGCAATATCGGAGATAACAAAGTCTTTTCAACCCTTGACTTGTTACAAGGGTTTTGGCAAGTCCCTTTTCATGAGGACAGCCAAGAGCTAACTGCATTCTCCACTCCTACAGGTCATTATCACTTCCTCTGTATGGCATTTGGATTACGATCCTCTCCTATCACATTCTCTAGACTCATGACCAATATCTTTAGAGGTCTTATAGGTAAAGCACTTATGGTGTACTTAGATGACGTAATCGTCATGTCCAAAGATGTGGATACACATCTGAAAAGACTTGATATAGTACTTGGTAAGCTTGAAGAAGCCAACTTAAAGATCAAACTGTCTAAATGTAAATTTTTCAGATCAGAAATTAAGTTTCTTGGCCACGTAGTCACTCCTAGAGGGGTTACGACTGATCAAAGTAAAGTAACGGCAGTACTAAATTTTCCATCCCCCAAAACTGCTGATGCTGTAAGTTCCTTTGTGGGTCTAGCAGGTTTCTACAGATCTTTCATTGCTAATTTTTCTTCAATAGCAGCTCCTCTAACTGAATTGCTTAAGAAAGATGCTCCTTTCGTTTGGACCTTCCGTCAAGAAAGAGCATTCCAGACACTAAAAGAAAAGCTAACGTCCTCTCCCATTTTGAAATTCCCAGATTTTTCTAAGCCCTTCTATTTGACAACTGATGCAAGTTCAATTGGCATAGGTGCCGTACTAGCTCAGAAGACTGATGGCAAGTACAACGCAGTTGCATTTGCTAGCCGAGTCCTTATGAAGGCTGAACGTAATTATACAGTAATGGAGCAAGAAGCTTCAGCAATAGTATGGTCTTTAAAACACTTCTGAGACATTATTTACCAGTACCCTGTTCATGTCTTGACAGACCATGCACCACTGATACCTTTATTCCAGAAAAAACAACCTACTGGAAGGTTAGCCAGATGGATCTTGACTATCCAAGAGTTCAATCCCACTTTTGAACATTTACCTGGCAAGTCAAATGTAGTCGCAGATGCTTTATCGTGACACGTTAGTGTAGTTACTGCAGATCCTCCATTTACTGCCGAGGATGTCAAAAATGCCCAAAGAACAGATCCCTTGTGGTCTGGTGTGATTCGATTCCTGCTCCAGGAAGATCTTATTCTGACTGTGAAGCCACCAGCACCCATTAGTGACTTTGTAATGAGCCAAGAATTACTGTATCCAACAGCCGATTTGGGTACTCCAAGTAGAAGAGTATACCAGTTAGTAATTTCACAGTCACTAGTGAAGGTAGCTCTACAGCTAGTTCATGATGCACCAGGTGTTGCACACCCTGGTATGGATTGTTCTGTGAAACAAGCCAGAATGAAGTACTTTTGGCCATGTATAGCAACTGACATTTCAGAGTATGTTAAGAAATGTAGTGTTTGTATGCAACATAAAGGAAATGTCAATGGTCCTAATCCAATCCAAGTGTACCCAACCACTAGTGAACCGTGGGAAAGAGTTGCCCTTGATTTGTTAACCAATTTTAAATGTTCCCTCCAAGGCAACAAACATCTGTGTGTTATGGTAGACCATTTCACCAGATATTGTGAGTTAGTTCCTATTGCAGATAACACTGCTGAGACAGTAGCTAAAGCATTTAAAGAATGCATTATCTGCAGGCATACCACCCCTAAGTCCTTAGTAACAGATAATGGAGGTGAATTCTGTAATGAGATTCTTGAAAATTTGTGTACCTTGTACAAGATCTCTAAATCCACCATTGTTCCTCATCATCCTGCCAGCAATGGGTTAGCTGAACGAACCAATACGGAAGTACTTGATGTCTTGAGAGCCACTATCAACCCCAATAGTGAAACTTGGGATGAAGTTATACCAGATGTTCAAAGTGCCATAAATTCTGCTTACAATGCTTCCATAGGTGATACTCCACATTATGCATCGTATGGTGTAGACAAGCGTTTACCCTATGAGTTGTTATATTCTACTCCGAAACCCAATTACAACCCTAATGATTTCATAGCAACTTGTACAAGCATAGCTCAGTGTGTTTTTAGATGAATCCGTGAAACACTTCATAAATCAACAGCAGAATTTACTAGAGTAACTAATAGCCGTGCTAAGCCGTCAAAAGTTAAAGTAGGTTCGAGAGTTATGCTGGCAAATTTCAACAAAACATCCTCGATGCCTAAGCTCGATCAAAAGTTTGTCGGCCCTTATCGAGTTGTTGAACATATCACTGGCAATAAGTATAAGGTTAGAGAAATTAGTACTGGTAAGTACAAAGAATTGCATTTAGATCATATGAAGTTAATATGCTATGTTGATGATATTGCTACCCAGACTGATGTGACAGATGCTGAAAATCCTCTTGACTCTCTACCCTCTACCTCAAATACTCAGTCAGATAATCAACCTGAATGTCGTTACTCTTTGCATACTCAACAAGTAATGAAAAACCCACAAGTGTCTTTTGTAGATACTCGTTCAGATCTCCCTCAGTCAAGGCATGTGTTAGCTATTGCAGAGGAATTTGATCCTCCCAGAGATGATAACCATTCTGCATATGTAAACCTCACCCTCACAGAATTGGGTTTAAATGTACATAGTATAATTAGATGTCCAAGATGAAGGAAATTGTCAACTGTTTGTTATTAACTGATCAGTTTTTTCAGAATTTTCTTTTTTCATGTTCACGTTCCCTCCGTATTCTGAGAATTTGACAGTAATGATCTGAGTGCACCAGATTGCCTTTGCTGTTAATTTCACCTTGTATATATATATATATATATATTATATATATATATATATATATATATATATATATATATATATTATATATATATATATATATATATATTATATATATATATATATATATATATTTATTCTTCCTCAGAATCCGTAGAGTGCATGAATACAGATCGATCAATCAATTCCATCCATATTGTACAATGAATTGTTCTTATAAGTCGTAATGCATTACAATGAAACTCACTACGTTAAAACTGATTATGTTAACACCCATTACGTAAAACTCATTATGATACCATCAATTAGTTCTAAGTTACATATGTCTTTGTTATTGTATAGAATCAGCCCAGAACCACCTGCCTGTTCAGCCTATAGCATAGTAGTGAATGTCGAGATGACATACGTAACATGACCGAGCTGTCATCATAGTTGCTGATCCTCCTTTGCACGTGTTGTATGTATAGATTAACTGAGCATTATAGTACCATCCATGTGTTTTATATAGAAGATCCCTATGCCTGTGACTCTATGACGTCACAGGATGCAGCATGAGTGAGTGGGTCACTCTGCCTCACTCTCACTCGGCGTTTAGACATCCAGGCAGTAACACGGTAGGCTGGGCCCATCCCTTCCTTACCACAGTCTGACAATATATATCGTTACCATCCAACAAGTGAGTTTACCTTATCCATCTTATCTCCTTCCGAATCCCTACGACATTAGGAGCCTTCTGGTCTACCTAAGTATGGCAGGATTTGCTACCGAAGAGACGTGCTCCGAGACCGAGTCAAAGAGCGATGATCCCCAGAACAACTTAAGAGATAAAAGAGAGTTCCATACCAGCATCATCGGTGGCAGACACATCAGCATCTTCCTGGAGCAGCGCCTCGACAACATCATGATGACCGAACCCGGCAGCCTCATGCAGTGCAGTCTTGCCTGCAAATTATCAAGTGCCATTAGTGCACCACAGTAACACTACTGTGTGCTGTATCGGGTATACAGTAATTTGCAATCCACTCAAAAACTGCATAACATCTGGCTCAACTTGAAATCGTCATTAGCTATCTGTCCAGGACTTACTTCAGTGTCTTATAGTTTTATTCCCAATTTGCATCTTGTTAACTGTGTGGCAGCGGGAGTATAATACAGTATGATATATAACACAAACATACTGTAACAGAGGAAATTATACAACGTAATATTGTGAAACAATACGTCATGGTACATTTACAGACGTACGTTAAATGAGGGAACTGATATTGTGCACTTAACAATGAAAGTCAAAATATACATTTAACATCTTGTCGCAAAAGACTAAAAAAAAAAATCTATATTAAGTCAACAGAACAAAGGAAAGGTTAAAATATATTCAAAATATTTGTATATGAATGAAAAAACTAAGTAATCCTTAAGAAAATAAAGTGTAAACAACTAATCAATATTCGAACTTGAAAATCAATCAGTTTACCAATAAATAAATTAACATTTGTAAAAATTGGTAAACTATATTAACAAATATGCAAATAAGTGGCGCTAGTAAACAACTACAAGCACAAAGCCAACCTAGGGAAATAATACGATATTGTAAACAAATATACTTTTAAATAAGAACGTGAAACAGAAGCCAGCATGAACACAATGAACAGGGAGAGTATAAAAGAAACATGCAGTGGGAAACGTTCATTCAAGACATGAAAAGAAGTGAAGAAATAAATAATCAAACAAGTAAACAAATAGTGTAAATAGAAAAATAATAGAGACCCCATTTATCTGCAGCATTAACAGCAGCATGTTGGGAGAGCAGAACTTCCACCAGAGCCAAGTTGCCCATCCGTGCCCCTACCTGCAGTGTCGTCTGTCCTGTGTACGTGCACAAACACTATCAACACACGCTCCATAATAAAAATATATTTTTAAGACGTTCTTTATTCAACTGATTTATTATTGATATGATTGGCATACATGATAGCAAGTCCCTGGTTATATTGACATGATTGGCATACATGATAGCAAGTCCCTGGTTATATTGACATGATTGGCATACATGATAGCAAGTCCCTGGTTATATTGACATGATTGGCATACATGATAGCAAGTCCCTGGTTATATTGACATGATTGGCATACATGATAGCAAGTCTCTGGTTATATTGATATGATTGGCATGCATGATAGCAAGTCCCTGGTTATATTGACATGATTGGCATACATGATAGCAAGTCCCTGGTTATATTGACATGATTGGCATACATGATAGCAAGTCTCTGGTTATATTGATATGATTGGCATGCATGATAGCAAGTCCCTGGTTATATTGACATGATTGGCATACATGATAGCAAGTCCCTGGTTATATTGACATGATTGGCATACATGATAGCAAGTCTCTGGTTATATTGACATGATTGGCATGCATGATAGCAAGTCCCTGGTTATATTGACATGATTGGCATACATGATAGCAAGTCCCTGGTTATATTGACATGATTGGCATACATAATAGCAAGTCTCTGGTTATATTGACATGATTGGCATGCATGATAGCAAGTCCCTGGTTATATTGACATGATTGGCATACATGATAGCAAGTCCCTGGTTATATTGTCATACAAGATAGCAAGTCCGAGGTTATATTGACATGATTGGCATACATGATAGCAAATCCCTGGTTATATTGACATGATAGCAAGTCCCTGGTTATATTGACATGACAGCAAATCTCTGGTTATATTGACATGATTGGCATACATGATAGCAAATCTCTGGTTATATT